ATGTGTATGTGCTGCAGTCCCCGGTAACTTGTTCAGTCCACCTGTTGCCCCTTGCTGTACCCAGTGACCCCCGGTATGTGTATGTGTATGTGCTGTAGTGCCCGGTAACCTGTTCAGTCCATCCTTACCCCTTGCTGTAACCAGTGAACCCCGGTATGTGTATGTGTATGTGCTACAGTCCCCGGTAACTTGTTCAGTCCACCTTTTACCCCTTGCTGTACCCAGTACCCCCGGTATGTGTATGTGTATGTGCTGCAATCCCCGGTAACCTGTTCAGTCCATCCTTACCCCTTGCTGTAACCATTGACACCCGGTATGTGTGTGTGTGTGTGTGCCGCAGTCTCTGGTAACCTCGTCAGTCTATCCTCACCCTTTGCTGTAACCGGCGACACCCGGTATGTGTATGTGTGTGTGTTGCAGTCCCCGGTAACCTATTTAGTCCACCCTTACCCCTTGCTGTAACCAGTGACACCCGGCGTGTGTGGGTGTGTGTGTTGCAGTCCCCGGTAACCTGTTCAGCCCACTCCTACTCTTTGTTGCAACCGGTGACCAGCAGTATGAGTAGGTGTGTGTGTTGCAATCTGGTAGCCCTGCTTAGTCCTTCCTCTTTCACGTGACCGGTGCCTTCCGAGAATAGTATGAGGTGGTCGGGCGCCCGGGGTAGAAAGGGGGCATGGGGTTAAGAGTTAGGTTGTGTCCGATAAGCTTTCACTGTCACCTCCGCTCCTCCAATCTCGAACACCTCCAACCCCTCTTCCCCCTCCATCACCCACACCCGCCCCAATAGCCAACCACCTTCAACCTTTCTTTTTCCTCCATCACCCACACCCGTCCACCATAGCCGACCACCCCCAACCTTTCTTCTTCCTCCATCACCCACACCTGTCCACCATAGCCAACCAACTCCAACCCTTCTTCTTCCTCCATCACCCACACCCATCCACTATAACGGCCACCCCCAACCCTTCTTCCTCCTCCATCACCCACGCCCGTCCACCATAGCCGACCACCCCCAACCCTTCTTCTTCCTCCCTCACCCACGCCCGTCCACCATAGCCAACCACCTCTAACCCCTCTTCTTCCTCCATCACCCACACCCGTCCACCATGGTCGGCCACCCTCAACCCTTCTTCTTCCTCCATCGCCCACACCCGTCCACCGTAGCCGACCACCTCCAACCCTTTTTCTTCCTCCATCACCCGCACCCGTCCACCATAGCCGGCCACCCTCAACCCTTCTTCTTCCTCCATCGCCCACACCCGTCCACCATAGCCGACCACCCTCAACCCCTCGTCTTCTTCCGTCACCCACACTGATCCACCATAGCCGACCACCCGCAACCCTTCTTCCTCCTCCATCACCCACACCCGTCCACCATAGCCGACCACCCTCAACCCTTCTTCTTCCTCCATCGCCCACACTTGTCCATCATAGCCGACCACCCCCAACCCCTCTTCTTCCTCCGTCACCTACACCCGTCCACCATAGCCGACCACCCCCAACCCTTACTCCTCCTCTATCACCCACACCCGTCCACCATAGCCGGATACCCCCAACCCTTCTTCTTCCTCCATCACCCACACCCGTCCACCATAGCCAACCACCTCTAACCCTTCTTCCTCCTCCATCACCCAACCCCGTGCACCATAGCCGACCACCCCCAACCCTTTTTCCTCCTCCATCACCCACGCCCTTCCACAATAGCTGACCACCCGCAACCCTTCTTCTTCCTCCATCACCCACACCCGTCCACCATAGCCAACCACCTCCAACCCCTCTTCTTCCTCCATCACCCACACCCGTCCACCATAGCCGACCACCCCCAACAGTTCTTCCTCCTCCATCACCAACGCCCGTTCACCATAACCAACCACCTCCAACCCTTCTTCTTCCTCCATCACTCACACCCGTCCGCCATAGCCAACCACCCTCAACTCTTCTTCCTCCTCCATCAACCTTACCCGTTCACCATAGACAACCACCTCCAACCCTTCTCCTTCCTCCATCACCCACACCCGTCCGCCATAGCCAACCACCCCCAACTCTTCTTCCTCCTCCATCATCCACACCCGTCCACCATAGCCGAGTGCCCTGAACCCTCCTTCCTCCTCCATCACCCCCACCCGTCCACCCCAAGTCCAAAGGACGGGGGGGGCGCAAGGTGGATGCACTGGACCTCGGATGGGATCGATTAGGGTAAGTGAATGAGCAAGGTCGATTAGGATGAGGAGCTTCTTGTCTCTCTCTCTCTCTCTCTCTCTCTCTCTATCTATCTATCTATCTATCTATCTATCTATCTTTCTTTTTCTCTCTCTCTCTCCCTCTCCCCCTCCCCCTCTTCCTCTTTCTCTCTCTTCCTCTCCCTCTCCCCCCGTCCTCCTCCATTCCTTCAAAACTCTTTAACCCCTAACCCTTCCGTCACCCCTTCCCCCTCCATGGCATGTGACTAACCTCTACCCTCACCTGTTACATTGTCAGGGAACGAACGGAAAGGAACTTAGTCCTCACTTGGTGGAAAGCGAGGGCAAGGGAAGGGCTGCCGGTCCCTTGTGCCACCAAGAAGGAAAGGATACGGGACTATTGAGAGCATTTGCGAAAGCGAAAAGGAGTGCTGATTTTGGACGAGGTCAGTTTGACTCAACCATCCTCCCCGGAATGCATGACTGAGGCGATCGCGTGGCTTACGTGTGGGAAAGGGAAGGGAACTCATAAGGGGAATTGGAAGGCAAAGGCGACTTAGGATTGCGGGAAGGGGCGATGTGTTGACCCCAATGGGGGTTGTACTTGGTCATTTGTCTTGTGTGGTCTTGGGCATGTGAGTAGCAAGGGACGATTTGGACGGGGCTGGACTCGCGGATGAGGACAAGAGTGGGAGATTGGCTAAGGAAAGGGCTTGGATCCGGCTTAAGCTATGGATGCGGGATGAGTTGAGGTCGGGCGCTAGGGTGGATGCTTGATGCATGGACTTGGCTTGTGTGGAGGTTGCATGGAATGTCTCTCTCATGTGCAATGCGACCCCTGAAAAGACTAAGGGCGGTCTTGGATAGGTGATGCGATGCT